AGTGGGTGGTTATTTTTTTAGAAGAGAGAGGTTGTGTGGATTTTCCAAGGCAATGGTAGGGGTGACATTTGGTGGTTGATTCTTGTTCCGAGTGGGTTTTGGTATCTTATGGAGCTAGTAGTTGCGTTGGGTGGTGGTTGTAAAGTTTTCCAATCTTTTCTAATTTGTTTTTAGGAATTGGGAATCCCAAGTCTTTACGTACAATTTGTTTACTAGATTTTGTTTACGGATTCAATGTTGATGATTGTATTAGTGGATGTTATTGACTTTTGCTAGGCATTGGAAGCAATCTACAATTGGTGTCACAAATATATACCCCTTTTTTGTGTAAAAAATAAAACCTCATCATTTGCTAGCATTTGCAAAGTTCCCTACTGTTTTTTGAGTGTTTTTAGGAATTGGTATTCTTTACTTACATTTTGTTTACTAGGTTTGTGTACAGATTCAATGTAGATGATTGGATTAGTGGATATACTGGCTTCCACTAAACATCTAATGCTTATTATTGTGTCGAGTCATTTGGAGCAGTAAATTTGATATACACATTTGGTGCCTAAACCCTAAACCCAAAACCCAAAACCCAAACCTAAACCCTTGTACACTGATTTCCTAGAATGGCCATATAATTTGACCTGCATAGGCCCAAGAAGAGAAGATTGATTGTGGGAGTTGAATAGATATATAGTATGAATGTTTTTGATGGAATGTGGAGGTATGTCATCATTGAAACCATCTAGAGACAGGTTTTTTGGCTAAGCAAGGGGTGGTCAACTGCACTCATCTGCTAAGGGGGTTTGTTTTGACAACCCTCCTCCCTCTTTGTTTTCTTAAGCCTTGCAATTTGACATCGCGTGACTATGTTCTGCCTGATCTCTGAGTTCATGGGTGCAGCTCATCTGCAGTTAGGGAGGTGCTGCTAGTTAAATGGTGTTGTTTTAATAAGGTTAAACAGTAAAAAGAATTCCACATAAACCGAAAGCTTTTCAGCTGAAAAAACCCTATCTTTTCCAAGACACTATCACCCACAAATCTCTGAAGATCAAGAATCAGGCTCCGGTGTCAGCAATGCAGGTATGAGAATTCCGATTAATGTGCTCGTTTGGGAATAGTTTGCAATGAGACATGACAAAGTCCAAGTTGATGATAATGTTTTGTGGTTGAAGCTGGCTTGTGAAGTTTTGGCAGGTTGATGGGTTGGGATGTCAGGGATCTGGTGGTTTGTTGTCTTGGGTAGTGGATGAGGATATCAGGATTTGGGTTTTGCAATAGATGATATGTGGTGTGTGGTTGAGTTGAGCACTTTGTGGGGAGTTCTAATTCCAAGGAGGTGACGGTGATTTGTGAGGGCTTGACGATGAGATGGTGGGTGTAGGGTGGCTGGGTGGTGCTGCAGATTGGAAAAGTGCAGATCGGTATAAGTTATACTGGAGAGAGGGTGACTGATGAGAGTTTATAGGGCTGCTGGTGACTGGGAAATAAATGATCTTGTAGGAATATATGAAGAGAGGAATAGATGAGATAGGCATGACAAGGGATGGGTGGAGGGAGGCGGCCGGAGATCGAGTACGGAACCTGGGGAAATTCACCACTAGGGAGGAGGTTGGCTCTACGGATGGATAAGGGTTTCGTGGTTGTGTACAAGGAATAAATTTTTCACCATGCAAAATTTGCAGGTTTTTATTTGGGGGAAATTTTTAGATGTGCAAAACAAACTAAAACGTCGCCGTTTTAACTAACAGCACAGTATGTTGTTTTTCCATAACTGCAGAGGAGCTGCACCCCTGAGTTCATTCTTTTATTCTTTCATTGGTTTTCCAGCTTGAAAAGATCCATTATCTTTTATACTCTTTCTTTATTCTCAAAGTTTAAATATCTTGTGTCTTGCGGGAACTGTTTGATGAAACTTATGAGGAGGACCATATGGATAAAAGTACAGCTTTGTTTGCTTCTCATTTTGATTTTGCCTTCTCCGTCTTTACCTTTGTGTTGATACTAGTCTTTGTATTACTCTTTGTGCAGTATATACCTGGAACAAAGATGGTTTTCCCGGGGCTGAAGAAGCCACAGGAGCGTGCTGACCTCATTGCATATCTGAAAGAATCTACAGCACAATGAGTCTTTGACATTCCTTTACCCCCTATTCTTTTGCAGTTTCTTGAGGAATATTTTGCTTTGTGCGGATCAGATAAACTACTATTTTTTTTAATAAAACAGACGTTGCTCTGTTGTGCTTGCAGTGCCTTCAAGCAATATTTATTGAAATTGCCTTTGGGAAGAAGAGGTCATTTTCTTTGGCAAACTGAATTGTATTTGGTTGGATGCATTTGACTTATAAATATCTTGTTAAACATAAAATTCCTCTTTTTTGCTTTGTTGTTGTCCGTGANCTGTTAGATGAATCAATCAATTTATTTTATATATATACACATATAACATCATCTCTCTTAGGGTTCGGTTAATGTTAAGGAAGAAGGAGGAGGAGGAGGAGGAGGAGGAGGAGGAGGTGGTGAAAATAAAAATACTGCAATCTGACATTCGCTTTTCTTGCTTAGCTCGTTTCTTTGCCTAGGCTCGTTTTTTCCTCTCTTTACTTAGCTTCGTTTTGCCTGGGATGTTCAAAGCGACTAAGGCTCGCTTTGCTTTGCTTCTTGCTTAAGCTCGCTTTTCACAACACTGAAAGTGCCCACCCAAAGCTCAATTCTTGGCTCCGCCCTGGGCATGAGCATAGTTAGCTATGTTGCTTCTAGTATATCCTAATGCTACATTTGGTAGCACTTTTAATAAGTAAAAAAACTATTTTTGTTTGCTACTTACTAAAAATCAAAAGTAAAAATGTGAAAACACATTTGATGACTATTTTTTAAAAGGAAGACATGTGCATCTTGATTGACAAGTATTACAATTGTATGTTTGCATATATTGGCCAATTTACATGCACTTTTACCGGGGGAAGAGAATAGCGCGGACCATAAAAAGAAGAAGAAAAACATTAACCTTTTTTGGCTTTAGAAAAAACACTTCTTTTACTTTTAAAAGTACTATTTTTGGTGCATACCAAACTTATTAAGCAAAAATATCATAAAAACAGTAAAAAGTGTCACAAAAATGGTATCTCGTTATTGAGTTTCTATACAGCTATTTGTTTCTTCAGACAATTACTCAAATTGTCAGCCAAAAGTTGGTCAGTTGCATGATTTTGTCAACCCTTAAAAGCCTTATTTTGGAGAGGTGAACATGTGCTTGATAAGATGGACTGTTTACAGGGAGGATTGCTTAAAACAATTTTCTTGTTTTTATTCCAAACATTTTGTGTTGGGGACCCGAAACATTTTGTGCTGGGGACCCAGAATAAGAACTATTTTAGTCAGGTCTTGCCTGATTTCTTACATAACATGTGACTTGGACAGTGGATATTTAGGTTGCTCCGTGCTGAAATACTAACTTTAATTTTATGATATAAAAGCTGCAATTTATATTGATTGGCTGTAAATTTTTTGGGGAAGTAAAAAGTGTCTACGGAAGAACTTGTACTCCTTTTCGTAGAGATTGTCAACTATTGAGAATGGAAGCCCAATGGATGCTGAAGCCTGATTACTTGATTTATTATAAAAAGCTCCTCATGTTATGTACTTATACTATTAATTAATTTAATTTCAGCGCCATATTGTTTAATTTTATTGTTGAAATAATAATTGGGTGTCTATGGCTTTGTTGAAGTCTTATATTTTATGTCTTCATATTTCAGTTTTTTTTCTTTTTTGCATCACCACTCTTCTGATCAGTGGAGTGCTGTTGACAAGTTCTTTTGCAATATGTTAGATGATGTTAACCCCAGGTCATTCATTTTACAAATATGTATTCTATTTGAAATGAGATGACTTATTGAGGATTTCACAGTTTTGTGTCCTTTGGATAATTTTCTCTTTTAGTGGCTGGTGGCTCAAAAGAAAAGAAGGAAAATGGGGAAGGGTTGGCGTGTTTGACATCTTGTTCCTCTGTTTTGATCTCATTTGCTTAAACTGCTGACATTTGCAGGACCCAATTTGAATGGCCTCTTTGGAAGGCAGTCTGGGACTACTGCTGGGTACTCCTATTCTGCTGCTAACAAAAACATGGCTGTGATTTGGGAGGAAAAGACATTATATGATTACTTGCTGAACCCCAAGAAGGTTAGAATTGTTACATTTAACTTCTGAAATGTCATTATCTTAATATTTCAATAGAGCTAGTGTTAATCAAATTACCATAGTTCTGTGCATAAGACATTGTGTTATAGTTTTATTTGTTCCATAATATTCTCATATTGAAGGAGGAGAGACATATCTATTACTATTACAAATTGAGAGAGGACTTTGGTGCCCATATATAAAATACCAGTAGTGCCCCTATTATTAACCACTCATAACTCCTTAACCTCCCATAATTCCCTATCAACTGCACTCTAGTTTTTCTTTCTTGATCTCTCATAATTAAATAGTTTATCATTTTTGGATATGATTTGGATATGAGTGGATCTACAAGGTTACGCTTGGGATGCCTCTTATGTTTATCGGCTAGCAGGTCGGTTGATATTCCTACGGATTCTAATTATATGCTTTTGGTGGATGAAGATGAACTATTTGAAGACTATATATCGCGGATTGGTTGTGCACTAGTTTATGAATGCACCTGGGATATCATATTCAGATGCTGCTCTTACTATGAAACGAGCACCTAGACTTGGNGATGAAGATGAACTATTTGAAGACTATATATCGCGGATTGGTTGTGCACTAGTTTACGAATGCACCTGGGATATCATATTCAGATGCTGCTCTTACTATGAAACGAGCACCTAGACTTGGATTGTTGCGTCCGTCAAGTGGACATTTTAGAGTGGAGGGCTTTCCAAAGGCTGATTGGGCTGGATGTCCCTCAAATTGAAGGTCCATTATTGGATGATGTACTTTCAGAGAGGGTAATTTGCCTGCATTGAAAAGTAAGAAGCAAATTGTAATAGCATAGTCGAGTGGAGAGGCTTAGTGTGGTGCAGTGAACACATACTGCGAGTAAGTTAACATGGTCACAATGGGACCTGGTCGACTGGTTCTTACCAGAAACAGTCCAGTTGCAATTTTGGTTCTGTTTTTCAAGATTTTACTCTACAAGGCAATCAGACCTGAGCCTTACAGTTTTTGTTTGCTATTTTGCTGCTTGTACGAAAGTAGTCAAGTAGTTTGCATGATTTAAATCTAATTTGTTAGCATAAGTATTAGTAGTCTAATTGATCATATAAAACAAGTCACAAAAAAATAATCACATGCCTGTTATATCCGTTAAAGTCAAAACAAGCATAAATCTAATTTGACAATATAATCACATGAAGCACACAAGAATATATAGTGGTTTTGTTTTCTCGACCGCCATCTACATTTCAAACCGTCGATTAGGGATCAATTCATCAATTAGCCAGTTTTCTCTAGATTTGCCCAAAATCTTTTTAACTCTGAGTTTCAAGGCTAACCTATAACCTGGCTAAGATCTTCTTCCTCTGGGATTTCTTATAAGTTTTCTGGGATTGCTTTTACTTGCAACCTACCTAATGGTCCACCACTAGGATATTTCCAAGGTATTATCCTTGGGATGGTCCAGAGTCATACACTACTTCTACACATTTGGGGACTTAATTGGTTACCTTGTGTCAGGCCTTACTCAAACTGTAATAGTGATGCGGTAAACTGTCTCCTAATGCACAAATGTAATCGATTTAGACCTTAATGGAGTGCTTATTGCTGCAGTGCTTTCTTTTCAAGATGCTTGGGCAAGGATTCCTCTAGATGGAGATAGAGAGAGAGGAGACTAATGCTCATTCAAGGCTTCCTCAATCACTCTTTTATATTACCATAAGAGCATAGATGATTTGGTGTTCTCAACCATCAGGTTCTCATCTATAATGANGAGAGAGGAGACTAATGCTCATTCAAGGCTTCCTCAATCACTCTTTTATATTACCAGAAGAGCATAGATGATTTGGTGTTCTCAACCATCAGGTTCTCATCTATAATAAGTGAGGAGCATTTGTAATGTACAGGGCTGGTCTATTAGCACTAGGGGCTGCTGGCTTGACTGGATAATTCCTAGCTTATTGTTGGACTACGGCTAAGTCTAGTGTTAACTTTCTATATCTCTGGATGTTAAGACCCACTTTGAAGTTTTCAAATCTCAAGGCATCAACTCTACTGATGCAATATCTTGCATCCCACTTCCGTGAGCTATTTTTGCCCTCATGAAATTGCAAATTAAACTAAGGTATGCGTAACATCCACAAGAGCTGTGCCTGGTTCGATAATTCTCAAGTCAACTCAGCACAACACAATAAAGCCTTAACCCTAACTATTTAGAGTCGTTTATACCTGAATCATATTTCTCTATTGTGTTCTATTAAGGACCATACGAAGGTTGAATGATGTAGCTTTGACGCTTGATCTCCTTTCTTCAATATTGCTTTGGGATCTTAAACTTGATAGCATCGTCACCATAGAAATGGTTGAGATTTTACAATGGACTCCGCGAAATTAGTCAATTACAAAATATGATCTAACAATCTTCTAATTTGGCAATTTCGTGATAAAATAAACAAGTTTGAAATAAAGATTACATCTCCAAAAATGTCATATTATTTTTTACTATTTCGTTAACAGTTATTTTAGGCCTACTTCTACTTCTCGCATTGCCATCGATATGTATCAAATTACTCTTCTTTTTCGGTGCATTATTAGGTTTTCTATGAATATGTGCAAACCTCTTAAGTCGATTCTCTTTTAATTTATTTCTTATTGGTGCTATTTATACGATTTTACGAATATGCTCATTTCTAATTCTATCATTTCTTGTTTTACCGCATATCCCATTTAACATTTGAGTGTGTTGTTTCTTAATTGCTCAGTATTTTGTTACATTAAAGCCACTGCTCGATAATTAAGTTATGAAAATTTTCTTCGTGGTGGCAATTGGAATCGAGCATTAAAGCTACTGTTCAAAGTACTCGATGTGTTTGAAAGTTCAGGGATTTAATTCTCTACCCAACAATTAGCATGAAAAATGCATAAAATTCTTAAATTTGATGAATTCTGTGCTCCCAATTCCATTAATTCCCAAGCATTGGGGTATTCTTTTCAATTCTCTGTACAACATCTCCGCACCTCTTCCTTCTC